CTTCGGCCAGGAGCCCCCGCCACTGCAGATCGGCCGCGGCGGCGGCGGGTGCCGCCCACGCGACCAGCAGCGGCGCAGCCAGAGTGGCCGCGGGCCCGGGGCCCATCCCGCGCCCCCCGGACATCAGGCCCGCTCGCCTGAGAACGGCGGGCGAGCGAGCGATGCGCCAGTGCAGGCTCGTGCGGCGAGGCGCGCGTGCCGACGCCCCGTTTGGGCCATGTGCGCGAGGCCGCAGCCCGCAAAGATCCTGCAGAGCTCTCGCATCGGACGGCAGACATCGGCATGCATCATGCGCCGCGTGGGTGCCGGAATTGCTGGCAGAGTTGATACCATTAGGGAAGGACAAGGCAAGGCAAGGCAACGTTGGGGGAGGGGAAAATTGCTAGCAAAAGTGAAATAGCTACATAAAACTGACCTGAGAGCGGGAAGGGGCAAGGCAAGGCAAGGCGCCGACGCACGTCCACAAGGACGGCTTACGAGAGCACGGCGGTCGGGCCGCAGCCCGGCGGGTGGGGGAGAGGGGGGGCAGCAGGGAAAGGAGGAGGAGGAGGAGGACCAGTGCAAACCCAAGGCGCATCAATGATGTTGGAATGCACCTTCCCTCCAAGCTCCGTCTTCATGACAGGGGCTGTTCCGTCGCCATCGCCGTCGCTGCCGCCGTCGCGTCGCCGCCGCCATCACGCCCCCTCCTTCCCCCGAGCCCGTCGCCGCTCCTCCCCTTTCCCTGGGCCCTCGTCCTCAAGCACGCCAGCCAGACCGAAATACACCAGCCGTCCACAGCGAAATTCAGCAACGCTGTCACTGAATCGAAGGGAACCCCTTTCCCTTTGATCCCTTCCACGCGGGAGGTGGGGGGGGGGGTCCCAGAGGGGGGAGGGTCACGGGGGTGGTGATCCCGGGGGAGGGGTCCCAGGTGGGGGAGGGTCCCAGGGCGCGTCGAGGGTCCAGGCCTCCAGGGTCGGCGGCACCTGCCGTAAGGCCTCAGCAATGCAGCCCTCAGGACTTCAACGCCACGAGTTAACCTGACTGTTGCGTCTTGGCGATCCTGTACCGTGCCAGAACACCATTCCTGGGACTTCAACACCGCGAATCAATGTAACTGTTGGGCCCTGACCATCCTCAATCGTTCCAATACAGCATTATGGTACGTGAACCACGGGAACCAATGAAACGTTTGCAATGTTTTACAGCGAATGTGCAGGGCGCTACGGCGAGAGCCACGTTTTGAAAAGGAGCCACCCTCAATCCGTGAAGCTCTTGCACTTGCTTAAACGAATGCACGCGGCGCTAAGGCGAGAACCACTTTTGGAAAATGAGCCGCCCTCAATCCGTGAAAGTCTTGCAATTTGTTTAAACGAATGCGCGCGGCGCTAATGCGAGAGCCACATTTTGAAAACGACCCGCCCTCTCACTCCTTGAACATCGCGCATTGATGCATGCGGCGCTAAGGCAAGAGCCACATTTTGAAAACCACCCGCCATCCATATGTGAAACTGTTACCAAGATTTAAACTTCAGGCTCGCAAATGGTAAGGAAGTCTCTGGCGAAACGACCAGCCCGCCTTTCCGACTGGCCTCGGGGTGCGACAGGGAAGAGTTATTCGTAAGGAAAAGGAATGGGCGAGGAGGAAAGAGGGGAAAAGAGGAGAAGGAGGAGGAGGAGGAGGAGGAGGAGGAAGCCACGAACCGCCGAGCGATTGATGCGCGTCAGTGGCAGTGCGCCCAGGGGGCACGCTAAACAGAAACCTTTCACATGTTACATCCGTCATCCAATACCTTCACCGTGTACATCCATTCCCTTTTCTCTCCCTTGCAGGGCCACCAGGCCACGACGGAGCACTACCGAGTCTTCGGCAACTGCACCTTTCGCGGCACCAGCACTATCTGCACGGCTACCACAGCCACGGCGTCATCAGCAACCCAGCTTGGCATTTCCCACAAGGCGAACACCGAGCAGCAGCACGCGCACTACTACGAGACGCAGCAACAAGCGAACTTCTTGACCAGGATACGCAGCACCAGCTCTTAGCTGAGCAATACAGTGCACAACAACCACCACCACTTCCGCCCCAAGTTCCCGCAACGGCGGCATCAGGGCGGGCAACTGCGAGTGGATCGGGAACTACGCCACCACCGTGGAGATCGACATCGAGACGGCCGAGCCGCCCTCGAAGCAGAGGACCGACACCGCGGCCTACTAGACCGGCGATCGAAGCAGGCCTGGAGCGCTGGAGGAACAACAACTGGACGGACAAATGGGCCCAGGACCACCAAGCACCTATTGGAACCAGACCTACCGCGACAAGGGGAATCCGCCGGCCCCCTTGTGGGGCCACCAGGCTGTAGGCCGGAGGTTCGCAGTTTCCTGTACCAGCTGCAGCTTTCAGTTTCCACTGCTACAGCTCTGCTTCTTGCTGCTTACTGCTCCTTGTTGACTTCTTGCTGCTTACTGTTCCTTGTTGATGGACCGCGCGAGGGAGGGAGGCCCAAAACGGGCATGTTTACCACGGAGAAACCGTATTGCCTGAATTGCTGATGTGGGTTAAAATTAACACCCCTCACGCAGACAGGCGGGGTCAGGGTCCAAAAACACACGGGATTTGCCACATCTTTGACACTCCGTGGCACCCCTCACGCAGATCGGCGGGGTCAGGGTCCAAAAACAGACGGGATTCGCGACATTTCTAACATTCGGTGAAACCCCTCACGCAGCTCGGCAGGGTCAGCGTGCAAAAACATATGGATTTGCAATTTTTGTACATTCGTTGGCACCCCTCACGCAGATCGGCGGGGTCAGGGTCCAAAAACACATGGGATTTGCAACATGTCTGAAATTCGGTGGCACCCCTCACGCAGATCGGCGGGGTTAGGGTCCAAAAACACAAGGGATTTGCCACATGTCTGAAACTCGGTGGCACCCCTCACGCAGATCGGCGGGGTCAGGGTCCAAAAACACTATGGATTTGCCACATCTTTGACACTCCGTGGCACCCCTCACGCAGATCGGCGGGGTCAGGGTGCAAGGGGATTTGCTACATTTCTGAAATTCGGTGGCACCCCTCACGCAGATCGGAGGGTCCAAAAACACACGGGATTCGCCACATTTCTGAAATTCGGCGGCACCTCTCACGCAGATCGGCAGGGTCAGGGTCCAAAAACGTATCGGAATGGTCACAGTTCTGAAAATTCGGTGGCACCCCTCACGCAGATCAGCTGGGTCACGACGTCTTACCAATCGCCACGTGTGGAAACCCCTCTGGTCATCTACTGGTTTTGCTCATTACGAGTCGGCCGCACATGAAGTTCCGATACTGCTTCACGACAGCGCCCAGGCCTCATGACATGGCTCTTGCATAGCGCATTATCTGAGAAAAGAGGACCGGCGGCAGGGGGCGAAGCCCTTACGGATAACGGCAAAGGCACGGGAAACTCACCCATGTCCTATGTAGCACGAACAAGAACAACAAGGGTAAGGGGAAGGTGAAGGCCCCGCCCGATCACGACAAGACGCCCCCACCCAAAAAACAAAAACATCAAAAGCATGACGACCACATCGCAAACATGATCAACAACGTCATGCCGACGAGGGAGGTCTACGCCGCACGAAAGCATGACTGGGTGCCACCACCCAACGATTTCAAGCTGAGAGACGACTGGCAGAAGATCAAAAACATCGATGAAAGGCGATCAGCGACAGCCATTGCAAAAATAAAAAATGCAGGTCTACATACTACAGATGCAGTTGCACAGATCGCCTTCAGCAAACCCATGATCCTCAACACCATGCCCCTAGCTCAACAAGCCAAGAAGATAGACAACACAAAGCGGACCATGGAAGACTCCTACGAAGACACCAAGGCCCACCAGAACTGCACAAAGATGTGCATGACCGAGCTGGCAAGCAAAATTGAAGCGCTCAATATCCTGCACCGTGACATCACCAATGCCAACCACGACAGCTACGGTGACACAGGCGCCTCGGATGACGAAGCTAAATTAGCCTGGCGAAGGACCCAACCATATGCAGCTGCGAGTACCGCACGGATATGAAACGAAGGAGGGGGCACGCAAACTAGGCCCCTCTTCTCATAGGCACCGCGCCACTGGGGCCTTCGGTGGAGCTCCCTATGGGGCCACGAAACGTGTGAAGGGTGTGCCGAAATGGGTGGTGGGGAGGCATGCGGACCCTGCCACTGTGGCCTTCGGTGGAGCTCCCTATGGGGCCACCAAACGTATGAGGGGTGTGCCGAAATTGGTGGTGGGGAGGCATGCGAACGCAGCCACTGGGGCCTTCGGTGGAGCTCCTTATGGGGCCACGAAACGTGTGAGGGGTGTGCCGAAATAGGGTGGTGGGGAGCCACTGGGGCCTTCGGTGGAGCTCCCTATGGGGCCACGAAACGTATGAGGGGTGTGCCGACATGGGTGGTGGGGAGGCATGCGAACGCAGCCACTGGGGCCTTCGGTGGAGCTCCCTATGGGGCCACGAAACGTGTGAGGGGTGTGCCGAAATGGGGTGGGGAGGCATGCGAACCCTGCCACTGGGGCCGTCGGTGGAGCTCCCTATGGGGCAACGAAAAATGTGAGGGGTGTGCCGAAATGGGTGGTGCGAACGCAGCCACTGGGGCCTTCGGTGGAGCTCCCTATGGGGCCACGAAATGTGTGAGGGGCGTGCCGAAATGGGTGGCGGGGAGGCATGCGAACGCAGCCACTGAGGCCTTCGGTGGAGCTCCCTATGGGGCCACGAAACGTGTGAGGGGTGTGCCGAAATGGGTGGTGGGGAGGCATGCGAACGCAGCCACTGGGGCCTTCGGTGGAGCTCCCTATGGGGCCACGAAACGTGTGAGGGGTGTGCCGAAATGGGTGTGGGGAGGCATGCGAACGCAGCCACTGGGGCCTTCGGTGGAGCTCCCTATGGGGCCACGAAACGTGTGAGGGGTGTGCCGAAATGGGTGGTGGGGAGGCATGCGAACGCAGCCACTGGGGCCTTCGGTGGAGCTCCCTATGGGGCCACGAAACGTGTGAGGGGTGTGCCGAAATGGGTGGTGGGGAGGCATGCGAACGCAGCCACTGGGGCCTTCGGTGGAGCTCCCTATGGGGCCACGAAACGTGTGAGGGGTGTGCCGAAATGGGTGGTGGGGAG